CCCTGCACCCACCCGCCCCTGGCCCAGGCAGGCCGCAGCCTCACCTTGCAGGTGCCACCGTGCCGACACTGCCCATGACAGTCATTGATGTCTGGGGAGAGAGGCCCAGGGGAAAGTCAGAGGGGCCCGCAGCCCACCCCAGCCCCACCCGTCTGCGGCGCCCACCCATACTGACTGATGTGGCAGTCGACGCCCTTCCAGCCCGGGAGGCAATCACAGTAATAGCCGCCAATCAGGTTTTTGCAAGACAAAGCGTTAAGGCACGGCTTCCCTTCGCACTCATTGGCGTCTGTGGACAAGACAAGGGGAGCCATGGGGCCCAGGCCCCACCCGCCCACCGTGCCTGGACCCACAGCCCAGCACCGCCAGCAGAGCCAGCCGCATGCACAGCACCATCCATGCACCACGGCTCTGGGACGTCCTTACCCAGCTGGCAGGTGGCGCCTACCCACTGCTCAGGGCAGATGCACTCGAAGCCATCCACCTGGTCCACGCAGGTGCCACCAGCCGCACAAGGGTTGGAAGCACACTCATCGATGTCTGCAGGGATAGAGGCATGGGCCGTGGCCGGTGAGCCCCATGTGAATACGCACGGCCAGGGACATAGACCGTGAGCCCCATGCCCCACACGGGCACGCGTGGCCCAGGAGCATGCGGCGTGGCCAGAGGCAGCGCCGGTGAACCCGCACGGGCACGCGTGGGACTGGGCCATTATGTAGGTTAGGGTCTGTGTGGGTCAAGGCCCACTAGGAAAGTGTGGGGAGTGGCCCCCAGGTGTGGGCTGTGGCCAGTGAATGAGGGTGTGGCCGGTGAGTGTCGGCACAGCCTGTGGGGTTAGGAGACTCACAGTGTAAGGCAGGACCAGCTGTCCCCTGGCCACCCAAATCTACCACACCAGTGGACTGGACTCTAGGGAGCTACTCATCACACAAACCCCCGGACGTGGGCTGGAGCCGCCCTGACTCACCAAGCGCGCAGGTCGGCCCGCTCCAGCCTGACGGGCAGTGGCACTCGAAGCCGGATGGCACCTCGTGACAAGAGCCCCCGTTGGCACACGGGTTAGAGGCACAGGCATGCTCCGCTGCAGAACCCAAGTCGTAGTTTGTGGGGTGCCTGGGCAGCCCCCCGGCTCCCCGTTCCCCAAGGGCTCCAACCCCACACCCACCAGGCCAAGGCCGGACCACAGGCCACTGTACAAGGTAGCCAGAGATGGGCACAGGCAGCGGACATGCGGTCAGTCCCAGCACCGCCCCACACCCGGCGAGGCTCACTGCCCAGCCTCTCACCCCACGCCGGGCCAGGCCCACTGCCCAGCCTCTCGCCCCACGCCCAGCCAGGCCCACTGCCCAGCCTCTCACCCCACGCCCGGCCAGGCCTACTGCCCAGCCTCTCACCCCACGCCCGGCCAGGCCCACTGCCCAGCCTCTCGCCCCACGCCCGGCCAGGCTCACTGCCCAGCCTCTCACCCCACG